TTGTTTGATCAGCACGACCATGATCTGCTTTAATACTTCTTTATCAAATGCTTTATTCAACAATGTATTCAATGCATATTTTGTGAACAGCTATTATGTGCCAACACTATTCTATGTACTTAGGATACAGTAAAAATTCACATAGGCAAAGTTCCAATCCTCTTACTAGACTGGACAGACATAATAAATAAACATATAAACAAATAATATCTGCAGTAATAACTAACTTAATAATAACTAAGATAAGGAACGACAGGGATTGGATTACTATTTTAGATAAGGTCAGGAAATGTCTCTCCAAGAAGGTGGCATTTGAATAGATACTTGAATGAAATTGGGGGAGCACATCATGAGGTTGTTTGGCAAGGGGTGGGGTGGGGTGAAGGCTTTCCAGGAAGAGGAACCAGTTAAGTGAAAGGTCCTGTTGCAAGAATATGCATGGCCTAGGAGGAAAATCAAGGAGGAAGGGCAAGATGCCAGGGTGAGAGAAGGCCAGTGAGTTAGGGTACAAGAGGAAGGAAATGAAATCAGAGTGCTAGGGGTGATTCTAGCAGATTATGGTAAGCACTTTGGATTGTATTCTAAAGATGAGATGACACTAGAGATTTAAGTACAAAGGAGTGACACTCTCTGACTTGTATTATAAAATGTAGGTGATTCGGCAGATATAGAGAACAATCTAGTGGTTACCAGTGGAGGGGGGAGGGGCAACATAGGGGTGGGGAATTAAGAGCTACAAACTATTAGGCATACAATAAGCTACAAGGATATACTGTACAACAGGGGGAATATAGCCAATATTTATAATAACTATAAATGGAGTATAACCTTTAAAAATTGTGAATCACTACATCGTACACCTGTAACATATAATATTGTAGATAAACTATAACTCAATAAAAAATTTAAAAATTGATATTTCAATGGGAATATGGCTTTAGTGGGTTTTCAGGAGAGAATGAATTAGATACATAGGTTCAATCCACCATCTTTACTGAAACACCGTCATTCATTTTTTAAACTTTGTAATCTGGTTACCGGCTCTCAACTCTACTATTGCTCCTTCCTTGTGAATAACCTAGATGTCAAATCAAAAGTCCTCTTTTTCAGTCCTTGTTGCCCTTATTTTTTCAACAGTATTTGACACCACAGCCAATTAAACCTTTGAATGAATATGAAATATATGCAGTAGGATACATGAATATGGAACTCATGGGAGAGTTTGGGTTGAAAATACAAATTTTGGAGTTGTCAGAATATTAGGTTGAACCATATTAATTGTCAGTCACAATGGTTCCATATTGGCAATTTCATTTACCCAAGAGTTAATAATTAAAGCAAAGCGACTGAATGAATTACCCAAAGTAGTAAGAATAGTTAGGAAGGAATAGTTTGAGAACTGAAGTGCTGTCTGAAACACTCCAGCATTTAAAGGTCTAGGAAGGGACTTCCCTGGCGGTCCAGTGGTTAGGACACCGTGCTTCCACTTCAGGGAGCTCGGGTTCGATCCCTGGTCTGGGGACTAAGATCCTGCATGCCTTATGGTGTGGCCACCAAAAAAATAAATAAATAAAGGTCTAGGAAATTGGGAGGAACCCCCAAAGAATGTGATATAGGAGTGTGTGTGTGTGTGTGTGTGTGTGTGTTTAGTTTTGGTGTACATTCTAGGGGTGGTCAGCTGCCTAACTAGGAATACAAACTGCAGGTGTTGTAACCTAGGATTTTACCAGAAGGCTACACTATAAAGAATATTATGAGAACTTAAGCTATTTTTTAAAATCTTAGATTAATAACAGAACTTTTATAGCATAATTTAATGAATATTAGAAATGCATTTAAAATCGGGGGCATTTGAAATATGTAGATATGTGGATTGACTGAAATATTTTAAAGAAATTCCCCACTCTTGTTTGAAGAGGGTATAAGAACCAAGAGAGCCTTTCAGCCTTTAATCTGTGCAACGATACCCAACGCATGATTCCAAAATAATGGCTGTGTTTGCACAAATCTTTTATGGACTGTGTAGTTAGAGCCTATAAAAGGATAAAGACTTGGGACTGTATTAAGTTTTCAGAGCAGGTTTTATGACTTTGTACCTATTTGCTAATAAATGTGTATATATATGAATTTGGACATACATTTTTTGTAACCTAGTAGAAACCATTTGGGTGGAGCTGCTAGCCTATAACTATCTCCAATAACTGTCAGATACCACTATCCAGAAGAACCCTCAAAATGAGCTTTCATTGGTTTGGATAATTTTTGAACAAAGTGGCTAGTGGTGTAGAACTGTCTTGGGAGCTAAATGAGATAAGCAAAAGTACAAAAACCAAAACAAAAAATGTTTCAAGAAGATGAATAGAATCATATCTATTACATGGTAATAGTTAGCCAATAGGAGGAGGGCTGAGAATTGACCACTGGATTTGGCAATATGGAGGTCATCCTTAATTCTAATAAAAACAGCTGTTTTTGGAGCGGTGAGGCTAAAAAGTCTGATTGGAATAAGTCCAAGAAAGAATGAGAGAATAGGAAGTGGAGATCATATGAATAGATCAATATGGCTTATGATCTTATGAAGATCATAAGAAATGTAGATATTTTTAAGGAAAACAAAGCAATGACCCTTTGGCATATCTTAACCATATTAGTCAGAGTCTAGGCAAGAAACAGAAGCCACACTCAAAACGGTTTAACTGGAAAGAATAAAATGCAGGGACTACTTACAAAGGCGTGGGTATGGTTAAGGGAACAGCAGTGAAGCCATTACTATCCTAGGCCTGAAGGGGCACTGGAAAGAAATGGTATTGTTAGAGACCCATGAGAGTTGGAACAATGGGAAGGAGAGCTCTAGACAGGCATTGTAGTCAGAGGGACACAGTATAACCAAAATTTTGGCCTAGCATAAAGGAAAGGAGTGTAATACACACCCTGATATTTCTCTCCTCCCTTTTTTGATCTTCTGCTAGTGCTGTGTGTTTGTCTAACTCAAAAGGAAGAAGCCACAGGGCAAGGAGGCCCTGGTGATATATTCATAAATGTCAGCCTCTGACGGCAGAGCATGACAGAGCAGTGAAGACAATGGGTTTTGGGGAGGGAAACAGACAATACTGCTATTATAAATATTCTCTATGACCACAGGAAGTTAAAAAAAGAAAGTCACAGGAGGCAGGCAAGTTAAAAATCCTCACAAAACTACCTTTCTAATAGTACTTCCTTTCTATTTACACATTTAATTTACTGGGTGTTCTTTCTGCCTAGTAATAGGGTTGTCTAACCTTTTCTGAAAATGGTCCAAGAGTAAATATTTTATAATTTGAGTCCTAAGAGGCAAAATTGAAAATATTATGTTATTTCTATAACCACTTAAATGTAATCATTTAAACACATGAAAAGCAGTCATTCAAATCCAGTGGGCTGGATTTGGCCTATGGGCCACGGTTTGCCACCCTCTGGCCCAGAAAATCTTTCTTAATTTTTCTCTGGCCTTAGTCAATGTCAAGTCCAAATAAAACCTCCTACATATGGCCTCCCATACTGTGACTCTGAGCTGTGAGTGACAGAAAATCAACTTTTACTAGTTTAAGATAGTAAAATTACTAGCTTAAATTGAGAGGATGCTGGGGGTAAATCCCAGAATGCAGAGCAGCAGGAATCCCAGCTGCTCCAGGGACCAAAATCCCAAAATGCAGAGCGGCAGGAATCCCAGCTGCTCCAGGGACCAGCTGGTTTGCTATTGTGGTAACATTGGAACACATCCTCTTCATCTCTATGTCTTCTTATCTTTGCTTGTGTCTTCAGTTTGGCTTCATTGTCTACTAGGAAGAGCAAACCCTCCCCACAAGAAATAGAACGCTTATCTGTCCTTCTTTATATAATAACCCCAGAGAAGTATTCTGCTTGACCTGTCTCAGTCACACACCCATCCTTAAATGAATGTATGTGGATGAGGGAGGAAGCTTGCTGATGGTGGAGAGGTTCTTCGGTTGTACAAGCTTGTGAGAGGAGGCCCTCCTGAGCAGGGCTTCCCATAGGGAGGGAGAATTCTGTTGCCAGGAGATGCAGACAGGAGATGCTGTCTATTTCGAGGGGATAAAAATGTCACAATTATAGACCAATGCCAGAAGAGAGAGATGTCTGACACACGTTGTTACCACCCTCAGAACCTAAAAATCACACTTGGTAGACATTCATGCATTTCTGATGAATGAATGACTCAGTTCCCCAGGCTGATTGTGAACACTCTCTTCTCCTAACTGGTCCAGATTTTGATCAGCTGCTCTTTAGCTCTGTAAGTTGTAGTAGAGGTTTTTAACGCCCATGTATTACCTTTCCTCTAATCCCAGGAGGCAAAGAGTGCCCGAGAGCGCCAGTCTCACGGCAAAGCATCCTGTGGAAACAGCTCACAGAATGGGGACTACACCGGAGACGGTAACGACTGTGTTCTGGGGGACCCGTGCGGCCTTTTTGAGGAAGCCTTCAGGACACAAAGCCCCACACCGACAGACGCGACCCTTAGTCGGGAGGGAGGCAGGGCGCGGGGGCGGGGGCACCGCTGGGCCCCAGCCTCGGGCGCGCGTCACTCGGCACAAAGGAGACAGCAGGGAGGCGGCCGCGGGAGCTGATCTGCACTCGCCAGCCACTCGCAATTGCGGTTACAGACCTGCAGTTCCCCTCCCCCTCCCCACCCAGGCCCGCCTGCCCGCCCGCCGGCCTTTCTGTCTCCTCTCTCCCTCCGTACTGGCCGGCCCGGGTCCGTTTCCGGGCGCTGGGTATTTGGTATCGATCAGGGCCGGGGGCGCGGGAGCAGGTGGCTGCGGCGGGGCAGCTGGGCCGCCAGCCTGCTGCGCCGGGGCCCGTCTCCCGCCGCCTTTGTCGCCAGTCCTTGCCCGGCGGCCCGCTCTGTCCTCCGGGCCCGCGCGCGCTGCCGGCCTGACTTTGCGCCGGGTCGGGCGCTGCCGGCCTGACTTTGCGCCTGGTCGGGCGCTGCTGCTGCTCCTGCTGCGCTCCGGGCCGCGCTCGGTGCCGACGGCCGCCGGGAAGCGGGAGGCGAAGGGCAGCCCGGAGCCCGGGCCAACATGGCTGAAGTCAGCATCGACCAATCCAAGCTGCCGGGAGTCAAGGAAGGTAGGGGCCGGGCCGTGGAGCGCGCGCCGGGGCCCCTCCGGCTCCCAGCCCAGCGTCCCTCCCGGCGGGGGCGTTGTCTCGGCGGCCCCAGCGGCTCTCGCTCGGCACCCACCTGGTGCCGGCCCGCCCTGGCCGGGAGGGAATTGAATTCAGGCTCTACTGTGGGACCTTGGGCAAGTCACTTTCGTTCTGAGCCTCAGTTTTCTCCTACGTAAGGAGACTGTGGGAGAGAGGTCATCAAGTGGTTGTGCAAAGGTTTTCGGGAAGAGAAATGCCCTTAGTGAATGCTCCAGAGCTGGGAGCTGTGTCCTAAAAATTCAGGCCCAGTCTAGCTAACTTGAAGGCTAGGAAGTGGGGAAGGGTTGACGTTCAGTTCCTTGTGGAGCCTTTGTTTTGAAACTTGACTCTTTCC